ATGACGAATTCCGGGGTCCTGCAGCAATTGAGAGAGAGTAGTTTACAGGGATCCATACCAAGGAAATAGCCCCCACCAGGGAATAGGAGCCTGTGGTTGAGATGCTGGGTGTAGCCACATGTTTTGATGTCCAGCCCTCCATGGGGTGGCCTCAGGAGGCATGGGATTTAGAAGCGGCCACATGGAAGATGACTCTTGGCTTCCTCTTCCTGGCATCTTCTGATCTGAGATTTCCTGGAGCGCCAGATGGTGAAAGTGCAGCTTCCTGCTGTCATTGGCTGTCATCTGCTCTAGGAATCTAGGCCCCTGGAACTTAGATCCATGTATGGTCAGCTGAGCCACCCTTTTTGTATGTGGGCTCCTCTGCTTTATACCTGAGGCCTTGGGACTACCAGTATGGTTTGTTGGAGCTGTGACCCACTGTTTTGAGTTAGGTGATAACACTGGCATCGTGCCTAACCCTGGTGAGTCACTTGGGGTAAAGATGCTGTTTCTACACTCTAAGAGGGTTCAGATTTAGATTTTTAACATCAAGTTAATAACTGGGGGCGTGGTTGACAATCCCAGTCATTAATTTGCCTGTAGTTTTAAGACAACATCTTTGAGTCCTGAGGTCCTGTGGAGAGCTAAAGTGACAGGGAAAGGGTCCTGGCCTTAGGATAGATGAAAATCTCTGGCTATATGGGAAGAGGGAACTGGTCCCGAGCAAAGGTGGGCATGCATCCCCCTCACAGTTGGGGAGACTGAGGCATGGACAATTGAGATGATCCAGCAGAATCCAAAGTAGCCTTTACTGCTGCAACACTGGAGGACAGAAGAGCCCCTCCCTGCTTCAGGAATGAGTGGGTATGGAGCCCTTCCCCACACTGCTGAGCAGAAGCCATCATTCCCTGGGAGGGACCATGACCTCGCTCTTCACTAGCCAGCCATGAGAAGCCATGGGGCTGCTAGAAAACCTGACACATGTTTCTGGTGCACACTCCAGGTGACATTTCCGAGGTCCTGGGCAACAGAGCACACACACTCTCAGAGGATGTGCAGTGTCAGGGCAGGTGTCCTATCCAGCTCCCAACATAGCTGCTGTGGATGTGCCTTCCCAGTTTGGGGACCATGTGAGAGTGTGTTTGCAAACCCCCAAATGCCATTTCTTCAAAACACTATGATGCATGTGACATTTACATGCCTGGGGCTGCGCTTGCATTCTCCAAGTTTCTCTGCAAGTCTGGGAGGCATCTCCTTCCTGCCAGGGACAGCCAGGGCTATCAGCCACTCCCATCTGTGCGTGCATGCTGGGGTCTATCATGCCACTGCCCTATGAAGTCATGCTCAAGTGTCCCTGACTGGGGAAGTGCTGAGGGTATGGCAGAGGGCTCAATGGTCGCTTGGTTACATCAGTTCCTATGTGATCACCTGTCTCAAAACTGACAGCCTATTTACATATGCTAGCAACACACGGCAGATTGGTTGTTTTAAAGAGGCCCCTGCTTATGAAAACTCTTAGGTTAACTGATTCCAGACTTCCCCTTGGGTCCTATCCTCTCTCTCTGGATCATGTGAATATGATAGAACTGTGTCTTGGGACTATAGTAGAGGCAGGGACCATAGTAGAGCCTAGGAAGGGAAAGAGAAGGGTGGGCCATTAAACCAGTAATGTTTATGAGGACTCAACTACTCTGACTTAATCATTGAACACATATCAAATCATCACACTGTACTCATATACAAGCACAGGGAAGAAAAATGATGAGGAAAAGCTGCAATCAGGCTGGCTCCAGTTCCTGGTACTGCCCTTGGGTGCACAGTAGGACATTAACTGGGTACATAGTAGGCCATTAACTGAGCAAAGGAGTAGAAAGCTGCCAAGCTGCCCACTTGGCTCCTGTGCTGAGGGGAAGCTGAAGAGCAGCTTTCATCCCCTCTACTTTCTAGAGAAGCATGTGGACCAGGCAGGGCTGGTGATTCCTCCTTTTCCTCACTGGTTTCAGACAAGCCCAGATTCCCAGAGCCCATGGCTGGAGGACCTCCCTGACTCCTGGGCCTGTGATTTCAGTTGTGCTCCCTCCTTGCAGGTACTTACCTGGGATGCTTCAGTGAGGAGGGCCAGGAGAGAACTCTGAAGGGGGCAGTATTTTATGACCTGAGAAAGATGACCGTGTCCCACTGCCAGGATGCCTGTGCTGAGCGGTGAGTGTTGAGCTGGGCTATTGACTGCATTGGGATAAAGTTAGAAGACAGGCTCAAAACCAAGGGGCATCATAGTTGTTGGTTGGCTGTCCTGATACCATTATAGCTCCATTCATCAGACTCTGATCTCCAGGAGAAAGTTTGTCAGCATATGACCAAGGTGCTGGGAAGTATCTGGAGATTGGATTCTATTCCTGCTCCGCTAGGAACTCTCCCTGTGACCCTAGGAGTTCTGTGAGTAGGCTATCGAAGAGGATGAGGGCCTATCAAAAACTCAGTTACTCAAGTCCCTGGCCTCAGTTTCTGCATCTGTTTAAAAAATAAAATAAAGAGGACCAATTCAGCAGTTAAAAAAAATCATTCCTACTTGTGTTTACAACAAAATTTGTTTCTCTAGATGCTGTTAAATAATTCCCTTGAGACTATGAGACATTTGTCATGTGCCAGGGAGTAGCCCTTACCATCAGGACAATTACAGCTCTTCATGTGAGCATGTTCATGCCAGAATACAGGCAGAGCAGTGGGAACTCACCACACACTTTGCCTATTTCTATCACCTTAGATTCTTTACATTTTTATACCTAGAGAAAACAAAGATAAGACCCACCTTCCCCATGCATGGTAACTCAGAGAAAGGTGAGGCTGAACATGAGGATGCCAATGTCTCATTTTAGTCCCTTCATATTTAAGGGAACTGAGGTTCACAGGTAGCAAGTGGCAGCATCTACCATCTCATAAGCAGGCAAATGGGACTTCATCATTCTGTGGAGTTTTCCTTCTAGGCTTTTCACACCAGAAAGGGAGTTCATTGAACAATGATGCATTTTCTGTAGCTGTGGCCCTATGTAATTCTCTGTGGGGTCTGTTTTACCCGTGTTGCTCTATCTTGCTATAGAGGGACCTATGGGTAAGGAGGAGGAGAAGGTAGCTGTGCAGCAGGGCTCTGGAGTGTCACTTGTTGCATACACTCCGGGCCAGTGCTGTGCTAGAGCTGGACACACTTTAATCTCCACCTGTGACACTGTAATTAGCAGCTTGAGGTCATCTGTTGAGTGTTTACGCCACAGCAATTGGCAAACACTATGCACCAGAGCTCTGCACATCTGCTAAGAACTGCATCCCCACACGGCACTCATGTAATCCCTTGTAACTTGAGACCATACATGAAACTGAAGTTCAGTCTCAAAACTGACAACACAGATCCATGGGACTTAATAGTTTATTCCAAAGAAAACATTATTCCCTATACTTAGATAACATTTAATTCTGGCTGGAGCCTGATTCCCTAGTCCAGTGGTTCTCAACCTTCCTAATCTTGTGACCCTTTAATGCAGTTCCTCATGATGTGGTGACTCCCAACCATAACATTGTTTTGTTGCTACTTAATAACTGTAATTTTGCTGCTGTTATGAGTTGTAATGCAAATATCTGATATGCAGGATATATGACATTTGAGCGCTGTGAAAGGGGCATTTGACCCCAAAGGGGTTGGGACCCACATGTTGAGAACCACTGTCCTAGGCCATGCTGATGGCCATGCCCCTGCCTATTCATTCAGACCTCATTGCAGCTTCAAGTCCATCCCTAAGACCCAACTGCCATCACCTGACCCTGACCTTTCCGTATTTTGGACTCCAGCCTTAGCTCTGTATCTAGCCAGCTTGGACTCACTCACACTCTGTGTCCCTGCAGGTCTTATGTCTATGCCGGCTTGGAGGCTGGTGCAGAGTGCTACTGTGGGAACCGGCTACCAGTCACACGTGTCAGCCTGAAGGAATGTAACCAGGAGTGCAAGGGGGAGAAGGGCACCTTTTGCGGGGCTGTTCGTCGGCTCTCTGTGTACAGTGTGGGGCTGCAGCAGCCAGGCTCCAGGAAGCGTGAGTGTGGTAGCATCACCCCAAGCTTTACGTGTCACCCATGTTCCACTCACCCTACCCACAGCCCATAGGGCAGAATTTGAGCCCCCCTTCCCTGTCACCTGCACCTGACTGGTTCCTGGTATGCTGCAGACAGAGAACAAGAGCTGTCAAAAACTGTTTGGGTTTATGACTAGGCACACTTTCCCTTATCCCTTTCAGAAAAAGCTAAATAGGAAGCCTAGGCATGGTGTGTGGTCACAAATGGCTCACTTCTCTTTGCTGGACTCCAGTATATTTTCTCAACTTCTTTGAATAGAGCTAGGTGTCTAGCACTAGTGTGGTAGACTTGAGGGGATGAAACTGGTTTGAGGAGATAAAGTAAGACTTGAGAATGTATAACTACTATAGCTCCACATTTGTGTATATCTGGGGGTCAACTTTAAACCATCTACCCATCCTTGCAAGCTCTAACATAAAAGTTGGTTCTGGAGTTTTGTGGAGGATCTTGGAGGAGCAAGTAAGTCCAAAATCTCTCTCTGGAGAGCTATGCCAACAGACCAAGGCATCAAGTGTTCTTATAGATAAATTCTCACCAAAGATGAGCATATAATTCAAAATTACAAACTTGAGAAGAAATAACCCAGCCCTGAGGACAATGGTGGGTGACAGCCGCTGTGCATAGGGCCAGAGGTCAGAGAGAGTGACTCTTTCCTGACTTCTAGAGATGTTCAGGTCCTTCCTGCATCAGATAGATGTGTCTGGAAGCCAAGAGGTCTAGATAGCTTGTAATGAAGACACTGATACTATATACCAGCTCAAGGATTTGCTAGTGAGTACATTAACTCAACAGAAACCCACTGATACTTAGTGTGTGCCAGATGTGAGATTTACCTTGTCACTTGCATAGGTTTTCTGAGGACTGAACTGTACCACACTCACTTCCTGGGTCTTTTATTTCTTTGGCCTTAGATGATTAATTAGCCTGATCCCTGATCCCTGATCCCTGATCACTTACTCCCGAGCCCCAACAGGGTCAGCCCTGAAATAGACTCTAGACCACTCTACCAGCTTCCAGATATGTCAGGGACTTAGCGACAGCTGTTTTACCTCTGCTTCCAATTGGCTGAGGGACAGCTGGTCTGGGAATTCAGGCCAGCCTCTGATCTTGAGTGGGCCAGAGCTGCTGTCATGGTTCATGTTGGCAGTGGTGTCAATGCCAAGCTGTGTGGCTGACCCTTGCATTCTGCTCCCCTCTCAGGAGCTATGCTAACAGGCTGTCAGAGGTGACCAGGTGGCCATCCTTTGTAAATTGCAGCTTGCAGTTACTAGGACATACTCACAGGTATGCCCTTGCCTTCAAGTTGGGATCAGGGTCAGTCGTGATACTTCATCCAGTGTCTTCCCTTGACAATGCTCTTCTGCCCTGCATGGCCCCAGCTCTCTCATCTGGGGATAAAGAGTGAGGGCTGTAGAGTAGTCTACACTTAATGGCATTATCCACAAACAGTCACATCAGTGAAGTGCACAGACTATTTCTGTGACCACCCAAGACACATGGGTTGCTTCCCGGTTTTAGGTTATGCTAAGGAACGCCCCCCCACCCCAGTATACCACAGCTCATTCCATTCTTTCACTCACTCAGCACCCCTTAGCATCTTGTGCTTTTCAGTGTTGAGGCTGGTTGCAGGGATCAAAGGGAACCACACACAGCAGCCTCCTCTGGGAGCTCCATTCTAGAATCTCATGACTCCTATGTTCCCCCAGCCCTGCCATGGCCTGGACTCTCTGGGATACTGGTTACTCTCCTTCTCCTATGTTTTGCCTTCCTTAATGACCCTCCCTTCCCTCGTGCTCCTCAGCCCCAGCCCGTATCCTCAGCATCTGTCCCTTGCCTGTGATTGAGTTCTGTCTTTGTTCTTGAGCCAACTCTTTGTTCTTTGTGGCCTGGCTTTGCCACATAGGATGGCACGGAGTCTTGTGGGCAGTACATGCCACTGGCCTTGGCTGTTGCACCACAGTCCTGAGCAGGTGTATATGGGGCGGGAGGATACAGCTGTCAGGAGCTGGCACTGGGACACACAGTGCCTCCATAACAGTCCCCAGAGCTTGGAGGATGTCAGTGAGGAAGAGTCCTTGAGTCTGTGATGCAGGGTTAGTCACAGGTTGGACAGCCCAGGTCCTGAGGACTGGAAGACGGCCATTTCCTCTTCAGTAAATGCCCTTCCTAGCACTATGAACTGATTTCCAACCCCCTAGTTCTGTGGTCACTCAGTATTGGCTTCCAGATCCAAAACTTGGCATGACTTAACAGTTTATAATGAAAAGTTCCTGCCCTGACCGAGGCTGGGGAGAGTCTGTGCTGTTGAGTAGATGTGGCAGGTAGAGCAAGCATGAGGGCAGATGTCACACCCCAGGAGACCTTATATGAAAAGGAGTGTGGGATGGGAATCAGATGCTATCTCAAGAAACTTATTCCCAAGCAGCTGGTACCAGAACATTCCAGAAGGTTTGCTCAGTACCAAGGGAACCAAAAAGCAAGCTGAGTTTTTCCACCAGAAGGTTGAAGAACAACTTGGCAAGAAAATCCCTTCATGACTTCAGATTGAGGGGTATCCCTGGAACCCTGGTGGGAGTTCAAGACCAGAGTGAGGGAAGCCTTGCTAGGAGGCCCAGGAGTGTCTTATCTGCCCAGGCACAGCAAGAGGCAATGGACAGTCCAGATGCCTAAGTCCACTTATTTTTTCCGTGCATATTCTCTGGAGTCAGAACTTTCCAGACTGTCAACCTACCACATCACCTGCTATGGAAGCTAGCATGAAATAAATGTAAAATGAGGGAAAGAAAACACGAACAGCTACCCACTCCCTTCACCTCCACCTTCACCCCTACCCCCCCCCCAAATATATGGCAGGAAAAGTGACCCCTTAAGTCAGCATTACAGCCAGGTGACCTTCGTCAGAGACCTGGGTGACCATGTTTCCCATGGAAGGTGTTTCTCAGGTGTTTGGCTCAGCCCCATCTTGATCCTCTCTCTCTCTCTCTCCCTCTCTTCCTCTCCCTCTCTTCCTCCCTCTCTCTCTCTCCCCCTCTCTCTTCCTCTCCCTCTCTCTCTCTCTCTCTCTCTTTCTCTCTCCCTCTCTCTCTCTCCCCCCTCTCTCCTCTCCCCTCTCCCCTCTCTCTTATGATATCTGCCCCTCCTGAGTCTATTCACATAGATCTCAGGACCCAGGACCCAAACCCAACCACAGATACCATTTCTCATCCAAACCCCATTTCCTTCCCTGCAGGGCGGACTGCCACTTACCGAGGCTGCTTCCCACTGCCAGAGAACGTCACCCACACCTTCTCCTCCTCCCTGACACAGGCCAGTGTGACTGTGGAGACATGCTCTGGATTTTGTTCCCAGAAAGTAAGAACTATTACCATTGTGTTGTGTTTCAGTCATAGAGTGTGCATGGTGGTCTTCAGAGCAGTGGCAGGGCCCATGCTGGGCCACACACACATCCACTCTTGCAGCCCAGGTGGGAGCCAAGGAGTAGAGGGCAGGGCCAGGTCATATATCCAGTGTCACACGAGGTGTGTTGGATAGTTCACAGGTAACACCCTCTATGATTTGAGACTGGATAGGGAAGGGTGTAAAGCTAAAAAGAATGTGCCTGCATACCTTTCTAAATTGACCTTGTTTAGATTCAGAGATGCCAGATCAATCCTTAGGGATGGCTGATGGGTCTTCCGTTTTCTGTGCTGAGGGCTGTGACTGGCTGCAGGGGCCATGCCACAACCACTCCTGTGGTTCAGTCCAGACTTTGGAGAGGAGTGGAACTCAGTTAGAGCTGAGCTGGGCAAGGCACCAAAGCAATTGTCCCTACACTATGTACTTGCTCTGTGGCAGGATGAGGGGTGAGCAGAGGCAGGTGGGGATTGCAAAGTTCCAAGTCAGAATTGTATTAGCTGTGGTGGGGAGCTCTGAGTCCACAGAGCACAGAGGAGCTAGACTGGGACTCAGTCCTCTCACACCGTGGTGGATGCTGCATCTCTGCAAGTGACCCTAGTTGTGTTGGGGTTCAATAGCCTCAGTGTTCTGTGGTATTTGACAGATAACAGAACAGAGCTAAGGGGAGGAGAGGGCATTGCCTGTGATGATGATGATGACAATGGTGATGATGACAATGACCGTGAACAGAAACTGACACTGATCCAACATACCATGCTAGGTACTAACTATTTCAAGCACTTTTTCTGTGTTGAGTCATTCAGCCTTCCTAAGGCCTGATGGGATAGGTGTGGTGATGGCCTGCATTTGGCAGGTAAGGAAACTGAGGCAGCTAAGACAGGAGCACTCAAGCTGTCTACGCGTGCTCATGTAGTACAGATGGAGCTGGGACCTGACAACTGCATGGCCCATTGTGGGGGTTGGGTGGAGCAGGGGCAGCTGCGGTGAAGTGATTGTCACATCCATCCTCCATCTCACCCCCACCCCTACAACCCCACTGGGTGCTGCCCTCTTCCTGCTTCCTCAGCTCTCTGGAAATGCTTCTCTTGCAAGGTGGAGGGAGAACAAAGCTTTTATAGGCCCTTTTCTCTCGCCTGAGTACAATGTTGACGTACTTCCTCTGTTTTGTGCCACCAGCATTTTTAAAGCCACTGCCACCAGGGCCCATAGGTCACAGAGCAGTCACCCCACTTTATTGGCTTTCGGGGATCTGGGCCTGGGGAATCACTTCTCATCCTCGTGGTGGGAACAGAACTCAGTAGAGAGGGAGTAAGGACACCCACACAACTGCCAGCCCTGCCTGAGCTACAGGGAAATGATGCATCTGAAGTTTGAGCCGTTCCACCATGCCCACCCCAATCCCGACTTCCTCGGGAATGTCGAATGCCAGGCCTAGAGCAGGATAAAGGCAGACTTCCCAGCAGCTTTGGAGGGGCCATGGCCTTTCCAAAGAGTATCTGCTTCAGTCTTCTCAGCAGGAGACCCCCTCATATCCCTGGTGGCTGTAGGATTCAGCTCAGGTTTGCAGACGGATAAGCTTGTACACAGGCATAGCCAGGGCTCCTGACTCCACCATCTGTGCTCTTAGACATTGCAACCTCTCCTTGTGACAGAAGGTGAGGCAGAGATGAGAAAAAGAATGGGAAAAAAGAGCAAGTGCAGTTGCCATGACTGCAGGCTTGGCCCCCTCTGGTTAGCTTTGAGTAAGTAATACGTTTATGTAAACACAGTAGAGATACCAAGGCAGGTCAGCTCACTCCTGCCTCTCTCCCACCCCAGCTTCCTCCCGGGGAGGCAGCTCATATCCTTGGCTTCCTATGGCCACTTTCAAAAACTGAATATTCAATCCGTTGCATCCTAGACTGGTCCATTACATATCCCACAGCTTCGGTAACACAGGACCTGCACTCTGCTGAACTGGCCCTGTTCTACCAGACTACCCGCCTTAGAGATCACTCCATATGGGTTTAGAAGTTAACTCCAATCTTTCCCAGCCTCACAGATGTCCTATAATTTATTTAACCGATCTCCTACTGTTCAGCTTTTAGATTGTGTTTAGTCATTTGCTTTTACAAACAGTGGTGCAATGACTGTGTTTAGGTCATTTTGTATGAGTGAATCTGTAAGGAAAAGAAAAAAAAAAACAAAAAAAAACAAAAATCTCTCCCAGGCGATGCTGGGTTCAGGAGGTATCTTTGTTGTTCAGTCTCTGCTGCCAGATTGCCCTTGGCAAAAAATATACTAA